TTATAGTTGATTGTTGCGTTCTGTCTCTAGACGCTAGTGTGTCTGACAATTTGACGTTGACGTAACCATTACCAACTTTCAAACAAGAAATTCAGCGCGTACTACTTCATTAAAGACTCAAAATAGAAAAAATGGTTTATGGACAGTATTTTTCGGACTTGTTACGTAAATTACTATTCTGCTGACATTTTCAAAGATGAACGAATGTTACCTTGGCCTACTTGCCTATTATACCCTTGTTTTTTCAATAATTGAGAAATCCTTAAATTAATGCTATACTGAGTGTGACTGAGTCATCAATTGTGTGGCGCATCTCTACCCACAATTCGCGTCTAATTAACCTATCAAATAAAGTAATTTCCAATGGTTGCAATAATATTTGTGTGAGTGGTGTGAGGTAACAAGAACCAAGTACCCGATTTCCATTATCGTAATAATGTTGTATATATAAGACTAGAAGATCTAACCGCCATCATGTGAAAGTCTTCGCTGATCTGATTTTACTGTTACAAGAACAGAACGTTGTCCACAATTCGTAACGATCTATTGTAGACATACCCTTTATGGTCCGCTTTATTGTTCATTTACGCAATAAGCAATGATTGTTATGTTACATTGATCTGAAATAGACAGCTTTCGAGCAATACAGAATGGGAATGAACAGGTAAAATGCGTGAATAAATATACAGTGAATTATAGTTTCCTGAGTTTTGTGAAGGTCACGAAGAGATACCCAGATATATCAAGACAAGCCCAGTGTTAAGATAATTGGTTACGCCACTGTCTGTCCACTCGTTCTATCCTGAGATACTTACAGAAATGCGCGGGATATAGAAGAAGACAGATTATTATTTATGTCTTAATTTTTTAGGTTGAATAAAACGATACAGTCCACTCCAGTATCATTGAACATTGAAAGGGAATAGAGTTTGCTTGAATTCTGTTAGTTGCGTTTTTATTATACCCCTTCTATACCTTAATTCCTCCTTCTTCTTTTAATGCTTCTATATTTTTCTACAAGTTCTACTTGCTTACTTAGAACAACACAACCCCAACGAGACCTTGTATTTGAATGAGTGATATAGGGAAAGAAATGAATGGGAATGGACATTTACTTGGTGATTCGTGATCCTTGCTTTCAACGAGACTTGTTTGCTTTCGACGAGACTTGCTTTCTATTTGACTTGCTTTGCTATCTTCAACGTGGCATCTTCGTGGTGTACGAGAAGATCCGGCTCGAAGGACCAAACTTTATTCACTTTCGTTGTTCAATGATGATACTTGAGTGGACTGTATCGTTTTATTCACCCAGTATCTTTTTAGTTATTCATGTACCAAGTGCGTTATACAAGATCCTAATGCCCGGAGGGTAAAATTCACCCGAGGGACTTTGGTCCCAGGGATGAATGCTGCCCGATGGGCTTTAGGATCTAGTAACGCTCGTGGTGCATATGAGATTTTATTTTTCACGAAAAAATTATCAAATAATGAAAAATCAATTTTATAATTGGTTCATTGCTCCTAGCATTTTCATTCCTTTTTTCTTTTCATGGTAGACGTGGCATTTGTTGATATTTTGACGTTTGATGAATATTTCTGTCGACATTTAATTCAGTGAATGTAATTGCCACTTTATTTGTGTAGTCTTATAGAAGTAATGGAAATGAATACGAATTTACCCAAGAGTATCATAAAAAATGCAGACAATAAGGCTTCTACTAATTTATTGCCGGAGAAATCCAGACTCGTGTATATACGACAACGATTATGAAGTATTTAATCAAATGATCAATGGAAGTTTGAAAACGAAATTATTGCCTTAGATGAGATCGTGTTATTGGCGTACTTTCAAGAATTGGTATGTAATTTTATGAATTACAGAAAATAGTAGATTGTTTTATTAGGATCAAAAGTGACACTTTGTTAGGTTAGTGAGCATATCAACAATAATAATGAGCATATCAACAATAATAATAACCATTATTTATTTATCTCCATATTCCACTGTGTTTGACTCAGTAATCAAATGAACGTGAACAATATCGTTGTGTGAGACAAAAAAGTATTGCTGGCCGTGATTATTAAAAACCAAGATATCCAATCAATCAGATTCCGAGAATGAATGAAATGCAGATCAAGCAAGTATGTGAATCTTGAAGGCTTTCCTGATCAAAGCGATTATACCTACATACATGGGTATGATATGCCAAATCTGCCGTAATCGGAAACAAATCAAGTAACAATGTTGTTTATTCTTGATGGCGTCTAGTACATCTTTCTTAGTTCCTAGGAGCTAAAGCTCAACTTTACCTTCTAGGAAGTAAATATGTGGCCTAGCAAGATACCTATTTTTGTGTCAGTAATAGAAACGTCAATTCGAGAGCTAATTTTGTTATTAAAATGGACGACTTCGGTGTCGGTTGCAGAAAAAGATACTGTTATTGTTTACGAATGTATATCTACCCAGTGATTTGTTTTAGATCTTATCGAGGGCAATTTCACATGTGAATCTTGGTGTACAAGTAATGGAAATTTATATAAAGAATTGAGAAAATTCAATTTTCATTGGAATTGAAGGATTGTGGTTATTCAAGGGGGACTGTGAGAGTGTGAGATTTCACACACATTGTCTTCTGCGAATGTAAAATACTGGTTGTGAATTTGGCAACGTTAGAATATCTGGCTATTCTCTATGCCAGCAGGCGGATGACGTCACGAAACCTGGCGTTTTTCGAAGGTTCTGATTTTCAATTAATGAAAAAAAGTATTTTAGGTGATTTTGAATAACGACTGATAGCATCAAATACTTTTCACTGATCATATAAAATAGGTATGTGGCGTGAATTCGATTTTAGTGTACAGGGTGGCCAACTAAGACTCCAGAGTTCAATTTCTCTGTTGTCTTGAGAGATACAAAAAAAAATTCATGTATCAAAATTGAAGTAATAACCGAGCTTCACATTTCAAAATTCCTTTGAAATACACAGGGTGTTCCGTTAGGTCACAGCACATCAAAGCTATGTTTTTTTCATTAGAAGACCCTATATTTTATTTCATTATCGAATTCTCCCTGAAGATCTGATTTTAACGACCCATCATACTTAGAGTCTAGCAGTGAAAGTTACTGACATATAGGGTGTGCAAAATCGAGATTTTCCAAGTGCAGGATTTTTTTCTGTCGAAACTGTTCATTATTCGTCAAAACGGTTTACATGTCCCTATCTCAACTTTTCACTCACTCAAATTGATACAAGGAGGTCAAAAATTCTAAATTTATAATTTGTTTCAATTAATAGCTTTGATGTGCTGTGACCTTACGGAACACCCTGTGTATTTCAAAGAAATTTTCAAATGTGAAGCTCGGTTATCACTTTAATTTGAATGCAAAACTTTTTTTTGTATCTCTCAAGACAACAGAGGTATCGAACTCTGGATTCTTAGTTGGCCACCCTGATGTACATCCCCATTGTAGAAATTGATAAGAATTGGTGTACAAAATCCACATTAGTCCACTAGGATCTAATATTTGGTCGTTTCAAGACTTTGGCATACTCATATTGACAGTATAGACGAATACATACAAACACTGCGTTCTTTGTGCTTCATTCCGGGAAAACTCCAATAATTTTCCAGACATAGTGGCAGCGAATTTTTCCCGGCCAGACGCCGACAGAAGACTCAGTACTCACTGGAAATCTCCCACATCAGAGTTCGATGCGCTTCAGTGCCCTTTGTGCACTGTCTTTTTCGAGAAAGATCGATCGCAGAGATCTGACCTCGACCGTGAAAACGTGACCTTCGATCCGACGCGATTTTACAATCGCACATCCCATATACGGGGTTATCACAAAAATAACGTTATTTGATTTTTTTCAAATGTGCGTTACGAGGTGCGTTATCATCATAGCACATTTTTTATTTTTTTTTAATCGCTTGGAGCGCACGAAAGGGAATCCCTATAATGTTCAAAGAACATCGTGCGTTCCTAGGGAGGATAGGGACAGGAGGTAGGTATTGGAATTTTTTTTTAACTTTTGGAGATAATATGTTGTTCGGAATACTTCGACTGGCAATGAATTCCAGAGCCTGGCCGTTCTATGGATGAAGGAGTCTTGATAAAGTGCTGTTCGACATCTTTCGAGGTTGACAACAAAAGGATGTGCTGACTGGGCTTGTCTAGTTCGTCTGATTGGTATTGCTAGTGAAGGGATGATAGCAGACATTTCCGAAGAACATTTCCCGTGGAAGTATCGATAGAAAAGTGAAAGGTCGCCGACCTTTCTACGGTGTTCCAATGATGTCAAAGAGTGAGTGAGTGTGGCGTCACCCACCAGGCGAATGGCTCTTCTCTGGATGGAATCTAAGAGCATCAGCGTATGTTTTGGTGCTGAACCCCATATGTGGGAACAGTATTCTAGAACAGGCCGTATCTGCGCTTTGTAGATCATGAGAAGCTGTTGAGGTGTGAAGTAGCTTTTCGCACGGAACAAGAATCCGAGTTTTTGTGAAGCAGCTTTTGCGACTTTTTTTGCTTTTGCATCTTTCAACTATTATTTATCATCCGGCAACATTGCAGATATCATTGACCCTTCCGGTGCTTTTGGCTCAACCTCTGACCAATAATCCACAGGCGAGTCCTGAAGCTCAATATTTTCCAAAAGAAAATGGAAAACCCAAATTCAAAAAAATATTTTGGTAACTATACGAAAAAGAAGTTGTTTTCGTGTGGATGATGCTCTCTGAAATTCATTTTCTAATTTTGTATACATGTAAAAAGTACTGTTATTTCAAAATAGCATTTCAACTTCAACAAAATACAATTTTCCGAGCCATTATTGTTAATTCCATAAGATAATACTGGGTCAAGAAAAGAAATAGAACTTGAATCAGCTTGAATTCAATGCAGAAGGAATACGATTCTGTAATCTCAAATATACCGATGATGTCTGTTTCAGAAGACATGATTGATTGATTGAGTATCAAACCACGATCAAACTTACCTCGAACCTCCTGTATACTACCCGTTCATCATGGCATCATGGATTCTGTAACAAAAAAAAAATAAAATCAACCATATACAGTGTGACCTCAATACACAAAAAATAAAGGGTGTTTCTCGAGGTGTTTCTGAAATTGAAGCGATAAATCCACAAATAAATCGCGATAAATTGAATGGATGTAAGTAATAGAGACATCAAGAAAACAAAACGAAATTTCGACATATTTTTGTGGAAAAAAAAATTTTTTTAGGATATTGAATTTCAAAGTTTGTCTGGATTTTTTTTTTAATCATTGATCAGAAGTTGACTCAAGGTTTGCGTTCGGTGAGGTCAGAACTCGGGTCAGAAGCATCGGAAGTACCAATTGACTTTTGTAACGTTGGTAGACGTTCATATACAGTATGATGCAAATGTATGGAATAAATTTATTATTTCAGAAATGGGCGACATTTGAAGATATTCCAAAAACACGTGAGTTTTAATTTTTGAAACCTCATCTCATGACATTCATATGAGAGATGTTACGTCACCTTTGTTGGAGTAATGACGTAATGGACGATTTTTTTAAATACAAACAGGGGTCATGTGACACCTCGTTTGAAAGGTGTACTGATCGTCTATCAAATAGTCAAAATTTTGCAAAAGAAGATTGAAATTAAAATGGATTATCATTTGGTTAACTGAATCTTGCAGAGATCTTCTACTGAGAATTAAACATCGAAGAGTCGTCTATAGTTGGAAAAATACATCGATAAAAAAGTTCTGAACTCTACTTTTTGGATTTTTTTCGGAAGTCGTCTTGTTTTGAAATGAATTTATTCCATACATTTGCATCATACTGTATATGATGTTTTCGAGCTTTTAAATAAAATTGAATTGTTTTTCTTTCGATCTATTGTGTCATCCAGCTTTTGTAGGGTTATACGAATGTTATTTTCAAGTATCATAGCATACTTCACTAAAACGATGTATTCATGTCATGTTTATGCAAATTTAAAATTAATTCATGTGTTCTTGTTTATTTCGAAAACTACAGTATTTGAGAACCTTGATGAAAACTCAGATATCCAATATACAACAGAATATGAAAAAAAAAAATACATTGTCGTTGAAATTGACGATAATAATCAAGGTGTAAGCTTAGATAGCGGAAATGAATTGTGAAATATTTTGTCAACCAACCACAAACTAGCGGTAATTAATATTTCCTGCAAGAATTGTGAAAGACAGACTATAAAATATAATTCAACTCAATATGATAATATCGAGGATAATGTACTGAAGTATGTTGCAACTAATTATTTCTGAATAATATAATTTAGCATAAATATAACGCAGTAATTAATAGTTTATCAGCAAACTTCGTTCAATTGCTACAATAATCGCTGTAAGCAGTAATTACAAATATCTCATATTTTTATTGATACCAATACACTGTAGGAGGAATATTTATTCAATTCATCAATAATGTGATGCAATTTGTGACCCAAGTATCCTTCATTATTGGAAACATCATTTGGAGGAGTACATAGGTGTGTTGTATACAGTGTCATTCATATAGTTGGCAGTATATATAGAGTAAGTATATCAATATAAGTCTAGATTAACATCAAGATGGATTCACCGATTCACCTCTAAAAAAATCTTGAATATCTACACAAAAATATTTATGAATCATTGAAAAACTTTATTCTGACAGCAACTCGAATTTATCTATACACTTGGAAAAATGATAGATTTTGAAAAGCACTAAAAATCGTCAAAAAACGGAGGGCTGGGCATGAATTCTCAGCATTGCATGAAATTATTAGAGGAATTATCAATGAAGTCACTTAATTCTATCAGTTGTTGCCGAACATTATAGGAATTTCCTTTCGTGCGCTCCAAGAGAAAACAAATTGGGAAACATTCCAGGTATGTGGAAAACTCCTTCATCCATAGAACGGCTAGGCTCTGGAATGCATTGCCTGAGGAAGTATTCCCAACAATAATCTCCAGAAGTTCAAAAAAAAATCCAATACCCACCTCCTATTCCTATCCTCCCTAGGAACGCACGATGTTCTTTCCCCTCGGGATTCCCTTTCGTGCGCTCCAAGTGATAAAAAAAATAGTCAAATAGTTAGAAATTATAATATACGACCAGAATTTCATTTATTTCCAGTGCAAAGACTTCGAGCACCACGAAAAATTAAAATAACGGTATTATTATTGAAAAGGAATATTCTCAGATATCAAAAAGGGATATATACATTGAGAATTTGCATTCTCTATTTGATAGAAATATGAATTCTTTCTTGGTATATATTCAACATAAAACAACTCTATAATTCAATGTTCGTCGTGGCATATTGCCAGGAATGTACTTGTTTCCTGTTGAATATACCGAGATATAATTATTAATATTTCCACCACATAGATAATCCGAATTCTCAATGTTTCTCTACATATAATATATCCATTTTTTCATGTTCATAATATATCTGAGAAAACTCCTTTTCAATACTTCCATATCCAATCAAACGGTTGGTTTAAACTTGAACGATGGAAGCTTGTTATTTTTATATAGACCTCCTATCGCAGATTCGTGATTGGGTTTTCTCAATTCAGATTTTCTTTCACGTCCTGTATGATGAATATCAACTTGTCATACATCCAAAAACGAACGATGTTCTTCTGTTTCAATGGACCAAAATTGTTCCACCATTCTTCAGATTGTATTACCATCGTCCACCAATAATACATTAGAATTATTACCTTCAATCGAGCCTTCCACGATATAAAATCTCTTTGGTAATTAGTTCTTAGGTACCATAAAAAATGTTCTGGAGGGTTCTGGTTAGGAAGATGTCTCTAACAACTTCCTGATCAGTCTGGAATATATATTATAACGTAAGGATATAGGTCAAGGATACGATAAAAATACTAATGAGAAACACTCTTACCTGAATTCATAGTGCCGAAACACACCTTTCCTGATTATGCATACACAGAAGCATAGTGAAGTTATTCATATCACGTTTCTCATTTATTTTACGAAGGATCTATCTATACCGATCTTTATGAGTGGGAGACCAATGTTATTATATCGTGAAAAATGCGATCATGATTCAATTTAGATCGATCGAATCAACCTTGAAAAGCAGTTATTTCTTGTACAAATAATCTGGAATGCCATAGGTACTATTTAAAGATGAATGGAATGAGAAAAATAAATATAGTATACAGTGTCAAGATGTATAGAGAGTGAAGTATCAGTGAACAATCAATTTATCTTCCTGATTATTCTGAAAACCAGGAGAGATATTTTTTTTGCAAATTTCTCACGTTAAAATAGGAAAATACTCAGAACAGGTTTTTCTTATTGGAAAGAAAGTGAGAAAGGATGAGTTGTTGCCATCAGTTTGTAGAACACAACCTGAAACATCCTGTATATTCATATACTAACAGCCACACATAAGAACTTAATTAAAATTCAACACAACAAAAAACGAGACAAGAAATCATCCCACTAAAGATACATCATGGGATGAATTATTCATGATATTGTCATAGGTTATCTAGAAACTGTTATGTTTATACGTTTTGGAAACCTATTTGAATAACGGTGAGATGTTGAATTCGATGCAAATTTCAAGTAAACTCTCCATCATTCGATGGAGTTTGGCAACTTCCAATTTCAACATTTTATAAGGTGATTTGCAAAGTTTCAAAGCATTCCGAGTGGATTCGAAACATTAATTCAAACTAAAACCTGCTGCATTGCGAGCCCTGCAGTGCAACGATAGCACGAAATTTTGTTTGGCCACCGAGTATCAGTTTTAAACAACAGGCACGGCCGTTATCGCCGCTCACATGCGTCTAGGTATACCAACTATATCGTTTGGCTCCTTGAAATCACAAGACGAAATAACGGAAGAATATAAGGGAAACATTATTCGAAAAATTTACTTGAGTAAAAAAAATTAAAAAAGTTACAGCCTCGAAGGGTTTGAACCCGAGCCACCGCCGTGATATTGAGATACACAGTCCTCTGCGCTATCGTCTTACTCGAAACAATGATGGATTCAAGTAGATGGTGGACTTTCTGATGTGCTTTTGTTTCAGAAATTCTTCTCCACCTCTCGAGAACAATGGTTCCGGCGATATTCTAATAGATGGCGACATTGCACAATTATGGCATCTGTTAATTTTGAAATTGCCGCAGGTTTTTCGAAATTTGAGTGGATTCAGCCCACTCTTACATATGTTCCGCGTACATTGCCATTGGCCAGTATATTTTCAGTCAAAAACGAGACAAAAAATCATCCCACTAAGATAGGATGAATTATACATGATATTGTCATAGGTTATCTAGAAACTGTTTTTATCCGTTTTGGAATCCTATTTGAATAACGATGAGATGTAGAATTCGATGCAAATTTCAACTCAACTCTCCATCATTCGATGGAATTTGGCAACTTCCAACTTTCGATGGAGTTTGGCTACTTCCAACTTCACCATTCTACAAGGTGATCTGCGAAGTTTCAAAGCAATCCGAGTGAAATTGAAACATTTATTCAAACTAAAACCTGCTGCAGTGCGAGCCCTGCAGTGCAACTATACCACGTGACAATCCAGTGTGCAAGATAGCTGGTAGAGGGCGTTTGACCGCCTTCAACCTTCAATATTTCGTGTTCATCGCGAATGGGTTGCGTTCAAGAACTGTCAGATGAACGACCCTGGAAGTGGAACATTGAAACACAACCTCACTTTTCTTATTTATTTACAAGTGATTGATATAGTTTTCCACAATTATTTTGGCACACGAATCGTGTTTTTCGGCTATTCATTAAATCGCGCATGCAATCACATTGTTGTACAATGCACAAAAAATGCAGCGGGAGACGAAGGAACCCGGTTGGTACATTATAATACAAAATTAAGTACCTACTATTATAGTCACTCACATATAGTTTTCATTTTTAAAATTTGGTAATTTCTCTGATTTCTCATCGGAATTCCTTCTGCAGTAGGAACTTATAGAAATACTCGTTAAATTTCTGCAA